TAGAATACAATGACCCACAACTCATCCGAACGAATTCTTAGGTAGAAAATTAACTAATTTTCACTATACTCCAACGCATGTGAGTTGAGATGAATATGATGCATTCAAACAAACTGTTTGTAGGAGGAATAAAGCCAGGCGGGCCCTGGGCAGGTGGTCGAGATGACCCAGGATTAGCATCTTTTGGTTCCAATTCCAAAAAGAAAGGAAGATTCGTCAGCATCTTAATTTGGTTAGAGTTGCTTTGCCAGAAGGAAAAAAAACATTAATAATGTTTAGAGTAGGTCTGATCGGCAGAATCATCTTTGGTTGGGATTAAGTAGACCTGATCCACATAATAGTACTGCAATGCTGAACCTCAACGTTGGGCTGCCGGGCGGCTGCCCCGATTTGACATGCGTGCGTCGTCTCTCAACCCTGGCCGGCTGTGCAGCTGACGTGATGCTGAGATTCGCCTCATCAAATCCCTGATGAGCGTCGTGTTGGGATTCAGAGTGCCCTCGTACGTCACTGCACTGCCTGACTGCATTCCTGGTCCTGGATGCCATGCTGGTCCTGAACCATATCATCGTAGAAGTATCTTTACTGACTAGGCAACCTTCAGTAGTGTATCATCATCTTCTGAATCTCCTCACTCTGAAACCGAGTGCGTTCTGACGCACACTGGCCCGTGGTAGCACCAATTCCAAATCCATGATTGAGCAAGGTCAGGGATCAACGAGATGGAGGGAGCCTGACAAACCAAGGTGCTGCCGCGCCCGCGCGACGGCGTCCGGGCGTCGGTGGTGGACACGGTGGGGGCTGCCTGCTGCAGTGCTCCTCCTCCTCGGTCCTCCTAACGGTGAAGCTAGGACACGGTGGTGGCGCTGTGCGCGATCGTCCTCGTCCGTGCAGCAGGCCTGGCCACTAGGGCGCGCGTTCGTGGAACCGCTCGTCTTTTAGTAGGTGCGCCCCCCCCCCCACACACACACACACACCCTGCCGGCGCGCGGCGCCTCATTCTCTCTCTGACGCCGTCGTCGCCTGGCGCTTGTCATCTTCCTCCTGTCCGTTGCACTCGCACGCATCGTTCGTTCGTTTCGCTCGCCCGCCATGACGAGTTGACGACCCCCGAGACAATGCGATCCAACGCCAACGCAGCGCAAGGTCGTCCTGGTCCTCTCGCTTTCGCTCCTCCGCTTTTCTCCCCGTGGATGGACGCGCTTGCCTTTCGTTCGTCAATGCCGCGAGGGGGTGTGGTTTGGTTAGTGTCGGGTCTTTTGCATTAGGTTGAGATATTTATTGACATCGTCCCCGGTCTAGAAAAAGCCAAGCTTATATTACTGCATTATTAATAACCTCGAGGACATGGAAGATTGGAAGCTGTTGTGAAGCCAGTCAGTCTAGGAAAAGCTCAATGATGATTGGCACTGATGAACATGAACTGAACTTGTTTGGTCCTTGGCTTCGGATTGTGTCTGAAAAGGGACAGTCTATTCCAATTCCAAAGCTGGCTCGCCAGCTTGGAAAGATGGTCTTATATTTTCTTTAGGATTCAGAAACGCGCACAAGTAACCTTATTTCATTCAAAAAAAATGCAGACAACAACGAGGTTGAAATAACGAAGCTTCGGTGAACGATAGACAAACTGAACTTTTGAAGCCTGGCTTCTTAACTCTGATTGTGTCTGAAAAGGGGACAGTCTATCCAAGTCGAATCCATGGCACCTACTCCTACTCCTACTGGCGAATCCATGTCCAGAGGGAGATCGGAACACGGCAATGCCATCGGCAAGCTTTGCGTCTGCGTGCTTCGGGAGTAACCAACCGGGCGGTGGGTGCGGTCAACGCCGTGAAGTATCTAGTGTAGGAAACTAACCGAGTCACGGCGGGACTTTGGTGAACGGTGACGATCAGACGATGGTTTTCAGTTACTACTCCGTACACTGGAGCAAGTGCTGGTTGAACCTGTCAGAAATCAGGATCCTTCGACATCAGCAGGATCGCCAGTGAGATCAGTCAGCCAGTGCCCGCGTCAGGCGCGAACCACCTGCCCGCAGAAACGACGACGTCGAGGCGAGCTAGCTCGTCCGTCAGAACCGTCACCGGTAGGTCCGCCGCGCGCTCCGACGACGGCGACACGACAGATGCACACAGGCAACTTTTCAGCTCGTGACGTACGGACGTGATCTGCGTACGTAACCTTGGCCTGCACAAGGCGGCAGCCCGTGACCGGAGAAAAGGCCGGCCGGCACCCGGCACCGGCGCCGGCAGTACAGGGGGATCCGCGCGCGGCCTGACGGCTGACGCTCTCCGAGACTGAGAGGCGAGCGAGTCAGCGAGCCATGGATGGATGACGATGGGTGGGTGGACTCTGGAGCTCGAATCGATCGTGGGGTGGTTGCAGTGCAGGCGCCAGCTGTGGGCTCGGTCGCCCCTTCGGCCTTCGAAAAAAGAGCACGGCAGGTGCCTGGCATTGCAACTGCCGTGGCACTGGCAGTCTGGCCCCATGCGCTGCCGCCCCCCCGAATCCCCCGATACGTTTTCCTTCTCTTGCTCCCGAAATGTGTATCATGTGGCGCATCCAGTGCTGGGGTGTCTACGCTTGTAAATTCATGGCAGTTGGATGAAGATACAGTAGGCAATGACTACTCCCTCCTGCTTCTGTTATATAAATGTTGTAGTTTTAGTTTTGTCCTAAGTCAAAAAATTCATGTCTTCCATCATAAATGTCTATACTTTAACAACGCGTGAACTATATATTGTAAAAGTATTTTTTATAAATCTAAATACAAATCTTGTTATATTAAACATTATGAATTTTAAAAGTTAATGATCAATGATACAAAGATTTGATTCCGCAGAAACTAAAACAACAATCTTTCTTTAACGGATGGGGTACTATTCATTTTCCACCCTAATTAACACCATTCGTTCTTTAATTACAAAAACATCCTCTTTGTTGTTGTGCCGTCCCCAAAATCTCACCATACACTTGTCACCATTAAGCCACCATAAGGTGAGACCCTGACGCCCACCCTCCTCCCACATCATCATATTCGCGCTCTACGGTCATACCGAAAAATACAACCGGTTGGGTTCGTTCCACTTTGTGCAGCTCATAAGTCATGACTAAAAGTACTGTTGGCTGATTTATTGTGAGAGAAAAGTACTGTTCGTTGACTAAAAAAATACGGCTTATAAGCCAAGTGAACAGGGCCATGTGGGGGCGAGAGCAGAGTAATGGGACGTGGGTGTGGCTCCGGCGGATGAGCTCATGGCAGCATGCGTGACCGGGAGGATGAAGAGGGTGTGTACCTAACGGAGAGAGCTCCTCAATTCCTTCTTCTACGACTTTCTTTACAATCAATAGAATTCGATTTAACTCTACTGGAGCGTGAATGCATACAGTAGATCAGAATTTGAGATTTTGTTACTACCTCATGGTGCCCCACCGTGGGCATGGCATGCGGCAGGCCTAGGGGCGGAGACGAGGGGCTCATAAGCAAACAGAAAGGCTTGGGCGAGGAGCTTAGTGACAGTTGCAAGAGAGGAGCATGCCAATGGGTTTGGAGGCAACAATGAGGTCTGCCGACTAATCTTGAGAAGCATGGGCGAGATTTAGCCATGGAAGAAGAAACTTGCTTGGGAGAAGGGTGAAAGAGAGCCCGACCGATATGGCTCACATGTCAAGAGCACTCATCCCATATCTATCATCGTCGTGGCGGATCCAGGAGTTTTAGAGAGTCTAGACGAGAAAATTGGTCTCTGTGCCATGTACACGCGTGACTTGCCGACGCCCCTCTAATCCTATCGTTAGGCATTATTGGGTTGTTTGTGCCTAACATGTTAGCGGCAGGGGAGCCTGGGCAGCAGCCCAGGGTGGCCAGGCCTTGGCTCTGCCCCTGAATATAATATTCAAGCCAACTAAAAATTCAAGGGACTATCTTTTTTGTTTTAAGGTCAAGGGACTATGGCCTTGTTCGGCTGACCCAAAACCCGGCTTGATCCGCTTCTTTTTTCATCCGGAACAGTGTTTTTCTCTCACAGATTCAGCCGTGGACAGTAACTTTCAGCCGCTACCGTGTTTTTTTTTCAGCCGAACGCCCCCTATCTTGTCTCTCTAACTAAACACGAGAAGAAATGACCTGTCCCAAAAATCTCTGATCCAAAAGCATGCTAAATGGATGAGCAGCTCGGTCCAACACAAGTACAATGTCCTCGAACATGTGCAGCCAAACCTCGAAAACTTTGTCCAATACTATTGTGCTTGTATTTTTTTCCCACACCGAGAGTCGTGGCGTGACGACGTACGATGTTTCAGCAGCCGGCCGGGTAGTATATAGAAAACATAGAATACACCAAGATACCAGCGAGAGGGTAGGTACGCATGGGTACAAGTACGTACGTACCAGTGTATACCACAAGAAAAGCAAAGCAAACGGATCTCAGTTGCGCCAGCGCCGCAGCTGCGCGGACGCCGACGCGACGCGCGGGCGTACACGCGCACGCCATACATGTGGCCGTGTTCGGCTGGCTGGTGGCTGGCTGGCCAGCCCACGCACACGGTCACTGTTTATGTAAACAGTGTTTCCACACATAACGGTATTTTTCTCTCACAACAATTAGGCGGAACCATATTTTAGCTTATTTTTCAGTTTTGCCGAACAGACAAGACGAATACGCCCCGGAAAAACCCCAGCGCTTCCCGTGTGGTGTGTCGTATGTGTAAGTGTAACCACCGCTGCCCGCTGGTGCGCAGCTGAAGCGAAAGCAAAGCCGCCGTCCCCGTCGCGTGATATATATATTACGCGCGCGCGGCCTCGGCCTCGCGGGCAAAGCTAGCTTAGCCACGACGCTCTGGGCGGCGCGCGAGAGAGCATAGCAAGCAAGCACGGACGCGACGCGACCTCGACGGCCGGCCTCCGTTTCGGACGGAGCTGCTGCACCTGCGCCTGCCCCTGCCCGTCGGTGGGCCGATCGCCGGGGAGGCCGGCCTGTAGCTGCCTGCCTGTGGCGGACATGCCAGAGGACGGCGCGCCGATGCACGTGCTGCGGCGCGTCCTCGACGGGCTGCAGTGCCTGCACCCGCGCCGCCGCCGGCGGCACGGAGGCGCGGGGACGCCCAAGCAGGCGCGCATCGCCGTGCGGCGGTTCGGCACCAGCAAGGCCACGCCGTGCGACGCCGACGGCGGCGGCGTGGGAGGAGGGCGGGAGGTGACGATCCGCGTGGCGACGTTCAACGCGGCCATGTTCTCCATGGCGCCCGCGGTGTCCGGCGAGGCGGCGGCACCGGCACCGACGGCGGGGGCGGGCGCCGGGCTCCCCGGCAGCCCGCGGCGGCCGCCCAAGGGCATCCTGAAGGCGCAGGCGGCGGCGAGCCTGGCGCGGTCGCCGAGCAAGGCGCGCGTGTCCATCAACCTCCAGGACAACGAGATCTCCCTGGAGCGGACCCGGCTGTGGCGCGGCGGCGGCGCCAACGCCAAGAGGCAGCAGCAGCAGCAGCCGCCGGTCGCGGCGTCATCCGCGACGCGGCCTCGGCGGCGGAGCGTGGAGGAGGTGCTGCGCGAGGCCGGCGCCGACATCATCGGGCTGCAGAACGTGCGCGCCGAGGAGGAGCGTGGGATGCGGCCGCTGTCGGAGCTGGCGGAGGGGCTGGGCATGCGCTACGTGTTCGCCGAGAGCTGGGCGCCCGAGTACGGCAACGCCGTGCTCTCCCGCTGGCCCATCAAGCGCTGGAAGGCGCACCGCGTCGCCGACCAATCCGACTTCCGGTCAGTCAGTGCCCCGTCCTCCCCCATTATCATCACTGCGTACCAACCATTCCTGCATGCCATGCGCTTCAACAGAGTTCATTCAGTTCACCACGCCACGCTAATGAATTCCATTTACGCCACACAACAAACTTAACAACTTTATCACCTGGGCAGTACGGAGTAATAGCCTGCACCGGACGCATGCATTAGCATTACCGCGTTCGTTGAATCTCTCGTAGATACTAGAGCACAGCATCAACATGGGATTCAGAGCCTGCATCAGTGCCCTGTCCTGTCAGCTGTCACAGCCTGAATCTTCTTCTATTCGTTGTAGTAGTAACAGTAACAACCGTACCACTTTGGCCGACCGTTCCCCGTGACACATCACATGCCAGAGCCGGCGCGAGGAGCATCCAATCCAGGCCCACCCTGCCAGTGTCTCCAACTCGTCGGCGCTGCCTGCCGCCACTCAGATACTACTACCCAGGAATGACAGCTGTGATTGATCAGCGTCAGCCATACTGGTTCTCCCGGCCACTCTCTTCTTTTTTTTACCTTTCTATAAAATACTCCCACAGTCATAAAAATAATACATCTCAAAGTCAATTTTTTTTATCAATTTAGCTAAACTTTAAGAAATTTGACTACTCTAAAAGTGGAATGTACATTTTGGGGCGAAGGAAGTAGTGGTGAAATGCTGGCAGCTGCTCGCGTTTTAGTTCTAAGTCACGGTGCATTGTTTGGTGCGTGGTGGCACAGGCAATTCACCTGTTTTCAACAGTTTGAACCATGCGACAGCAGTCAACGTCACGACTCGGCCCGAATTTTGAGTCGAAGCGTCCAAATAAAGCAGGACTCATGCATGTCGTCGCCTAGACAGTTGCTTTACCTGCCTGGCGATTAGTCAAGTGTATAATGGAGACAGTCTGGGATGGGATTAGGAAGAGCATTACGCGCTCCAGACAAGCGGCAAGATGCTTAGGGAGTAAGTATATATGGCGGATAGCATGCTTAATTCAGCTGCTACCGGGCGGGCTATGAGAAAAAGAAGGATTAGTTGAGCTGCTCCACTGTCATCAGAAACCGCCACCAAGCCTTTGCAGCCCCGTACGTTTCCAAAGCCAGTGTCGCCGTCCCCACAGCTTTCTTTATTACAGTACCAGGCCTAGCTTTAGCCCTAGAGTAGGAATAGCCATGGCCATGGCCATGCATGCTTAGTTGGTCTCAGTGAAAAGGATTAGACACAGACGCCACCCCACCGGCGCCCGCAGAAGGTTAGGTGCTCACTAATCACTGGCTGCTGCTACGGCGGCTGAAACTGAAATGCAGGGGAGGCGAGAGGTAGGAGAAGAGACAAGGGAAGAGGGGAAGTTTCTGCCGTCCCGTGCGCGCGATGATCTCTGCTGCTGTTGCTGCCGAGTGGTCGCCGTCAGGGAGGGAAACTGGTAGCTGGGCAGGAGCTTTCCGGGCGAGACAACTCCCTGGGCGAGCGCCTCTGGATAGGAACCCCGTGCCCATGCAGAGGAGCCAGCAGCAGACGTTATTGCAGTGCAGCACCAGCAGCACGCTTGTTTTTTGCAAATCATAAATGGCAGGCCCGTCGCACAGCGCATGGATATCTCTTTTTTTTCCTTCTGATCCGTGATAGCTGCCCAATTTCCAGTATACAGTTCTTCAACAATTTATATATCCATGATTTTCCACTAAATTAAACCTCATGTTTACATTCTGTGACACTAGTACGCGTTAGCATCCTGTCATGAAGATTCGTTTTCAAGGGACCGTAGGCATAGAGCCACTCGCGCTAGCTGCACAATTTATGGTCACAGAAAACTGTCGTCTGTCAGAGCCTATGCAGCAGCTGATCGAGCTCCAAAGCAGGAAGCGCGCAATATCCTGAGAGCGACACGGCGATCACGCCCTCGCTGTCCACGCATAAATGGCCTGTCCCAAGGGCGTGATCGTGATCGCGATCGTTCCTTGCTGCATTCATGCTTTCGAGCGATTGGTAGCTCAGTTCATGAAACTATGAAAGCAGCAGCGCGATCGTATGATTCGTATCGTATCTCGATGGTCCGATCACTGAGCTGAACAGGACGACGCATGCATGTGCGGGTGTGGTTGCTGCAGGAACGTGCTGCGCGCCACGATTGAGGTGCCGGACGCCGGCGAGGTGAACTTCCACTGCACGCACCTGGACCACCTGGACGAGAAGTGGAGGATGAAGCAGGTGGACGCCATCATCCGCTCCGGCGACGGCCCGCACATCCTCGCCGGCGGCCTCAACGCGCTCGACGGCACCGACTACTCCGCCGACCGATGGGCCGACATCGTCAAGGTACCTAGCTAGGCCACCACACGACGAACATGCATTCGGTCGTGCTCGACGGCCATGTCCATTTGGGGTACTGATCTACCTTGGACGTTTATGCTCGTTTCGTTTCTGGCGGTTTTATTGCAGTACTACGAGGAGATCGGCAAGCCGACGCCCAAGGTGGAGGTGATGCAGTACCTCAAGGCGAAGCAGTACGTCGACGCCAAGGACTTCGCCGGAGAATGCGAGGCGGTGGTGGTCGTGGCCAAAGGACAAGGTAGGTGTCATGCATGTCCCACAATTCCTCAGATAATCCCAGTTCAGTTAGTTAGTAGTTACTCATCAGGGACTTTCTTTCAGTTCAGTCAGTTTCATTTTGCTAGCTGCTATCTGAACATTGCCATGGATGGAAAACTTCAGATGTGCAGGGGACGTGCAAGTACGGCACGAGGGTGGACTACATCCTGGCGTCGCCCAACTCCCCCTACAAGTTCGTGCCTGGATCCTACACGGTCGTCTCCTCCAAAGGGACATCGGATCATCACATCGTTCGGGTCGACGTCGCCATACCTCAGATCAGAGAACCTGATGCCGAGACCACCGCGAAGGGGAAACGCAGAGTAGTCAAGATGAACAAGAAGAGCTCAAGAAAGGGGATATGGGGAGGAACTAAATGAACAGACTAGTTTTTGTTTTTTTTCTTCCAAAGTTCCTTTTGGTCGCGTTCTTTCTTTTTGGGGGTGAATGGGTGATGTGGGTTGCTTGGAAATGTGTATATGGTTGAGTGAGACTGAAGAAGCGTGGTTTGCAGTGGATGCCTGCTGCGATGTGACCAAGAAGTGGGAGCAACGTATTTTGGCCGGGTTTCACTTCTGTTATTGGTTACCATCTTGCGTATGTTCTACCCACAGAGTGACTTCAGCTGGACGTTCTCTGTGGTTGAAGGCATTGCACATTGCAGCACACCTGGTTGCCGGAAAGAGATAGTGCTGGAATGGGAAAGAGTAATTTATACTCATGGCTTCAACTTCATAGAAAAATGATTCCTAGTTTTTTAAGAAAAAAAAAACGTATTTCTCAAGACAACATATCTAAAAAAAGAATGTATCAACCATGATAAAATGGAACAGATTTTGCCCCCATCGCCACGTCAGAAACAGTTCTTACGGCTCATAATCGTAGGGAAACATGTCCAAGCCGAGCAGGGCCTAGCTTGTTTCCCACGGTCTGTCAGCATTCTCACAAAGCAGTTTCTTTCCAAATATCTGCTGGCAAGAGTCCATACAGTTTTTTGTTTCCATTCTCGACAGCTCAGATATCTAAATGAATCGAGAAAAGACTGATAGGTCTAACCGATAAACCCTACCCCAGTTGCCTGTCTAATTGTCGGTGTTTTCAGACCACCAACGAGTAAATTTATATTTGCGTGTCTGGCTCGGATGGTGTGTTCGGAGAACACAAGGGTTTATACTGGTTCGGGCGGAACGTCCCTACGTCCAGTTTGTTGCTGCTCGTGTTACCGGCACTTGGTTTGCAGTAGGGGTTACAAAGGCCCCGTTCGCTTCGCTGAAAAAACAAGGCGAAACACTGTTCCGGCTAAAAAAACAAGCTGAAAAAGACGGATTATAAGGGAAGCGAACAGGGCCAAACAGGAGAGAGATGATCCCAAGTCTGTGGTGGAAGGAGTGAACGGATGCTGAGAGCTCGCTTGCCGCTCAGCCGTGTGCTCGTGTCGTGCTCTTGTGTTTTGATCTCTTCCCACCGTGGGGCGCCCTACTTTCTCTTTTATAGACGAAGGAAAAGCGCGGGTTACAGAGGTTAAACGGAGAAGAACGAGAGAGAGAGAAGGAGGCTTCCAGGGTTGTCGGGTCCTTCTTCCCCTTCATGCGGGTCCCGCCGATCCTACATACGGTCCCTCCCACGACGAAGAGAGCTTGTGGCAGTTCTTGTTGCTCTGGACGAGGCGGAGCACCAGGTCCCCGACGTTGAAGGCCCGACCCCGCACTCGACGGCTGTGGTATCGGTGTAACGCTTGCTGGTACTTAGCAGAGCGAAAGAGGGCAACGTCGCGCGCTTCATCTAGCTGATCCATGGCATCCTCGAGGGACGCCTTGGCTCCCTGCTCGTCGTACGCCCTGACCCTCGGCGCTCCATAATCGAGGTCGGTCGAGAGGATAGCCTCGGAACCGTAGACCATGAAGAATGACGTGTAGCCGGTGACCCGGCTGGGCGTTGTCCTCAGGCTCCATAGCACCATTGCTTGTTCTTCTTCTTGTTGGGGCGGTTGGAGGCGCCTTCGCCGGCATCCTCGTCCCGCTTTGCCTTGCCCTTAGGGTGGTCGAAAATCGCCCCAACCGCCTCCTCGCCCGAGGCGTGGCTGGTGGTGATATCGAGGAGCTCCTTGGTGGTTCGTAGGCCCTTTCGTCCCAGCTTGTGAATTAGGGACTCACAGGTGGTCCCAGACAGGAAAGCTCCTATGACGTTAGCGTCAGCGACGTCGGGCAGCTCGTTGCACTGCCGGGAGAAGCGCCGAATGTACCCACGAAGAGTTTCCCCGAACTTCTGTCGATAGTTTTTGAGATCCCATGGGTTCCCAGGACGCGTGTATGTGCCCCGAAAGTTTTCCACGAAGATCTCTTTTAGGTCCGCCCAACTTTAGATTCGGTTGGGCGAAAGGTGTTCCAACCACGTTCACGCCAAATCGGCCAGGAACAATGGAAGGTTGCGGATAATGAAATTATCATTATCTGCTCCATCGGCTTGGCAAGTAAGGCGATAATCCTCGAGCCACAGTCTAGGATTTGTTTCCCCGAAGTATTTCGGGATGTTGGTCGACGGTCGGTACCGCGGTGGGAAGACGGTGTTGAGGATGTGTCGGCCAAAGGCCTGAGGTCCCGACAAGTCGGGGCTCGGGCTTCGGTCCTCGCCGTTGTCGTATCGTCCGCCACGACGAGGGTGGTAGCCCAGGTGAAGTGTGGGAGGGCTTTGTCGTCCTCGATGATCCTTCGGTTCATGTCGTGGGCCATGGCGCGCGCACGCCCACCGTCTATCTCTTGCTCGAGCTGGAGTCGTGCTTCTTCGAGCTCTTAGTGCCGCGCCCTCAGCTGCTCTACCCGTGGGCAAGGTGGGGCCCCTACATCCCCCTTGACCTCATTGTCAAGGTCGTCTATTGGCGTAGCCACTCCCTCATGGATGCTTTCGATGTATCCCTCGGGGGTACCTGCCATGAAACATTCTCGCGAGGAGTGATGGATCCCTCTGCTGGAGTCAGAGTCGAAGGGCGACTTCATTCTCCCGTGAGAAGGTCGTGGAAAGATTCCGCGACGTATTCGGTCATCCCATGAACTCGTCGTTCGTAGGGGATGGGGGCGTGCGCTGCACCACAAGATAGCCAACAGTCTCTGTGGCGTTGCGTAGACCGAATAGGAGCGCTGTCGGGGCACTCCGGATGAGGTATTTCGGGGAGAACGGCTCTCCTCCAGCAAGCTGCGTCATGACGTTGGCGAACGAGAAGGTGAGGCGGCGCAGGTCCTCCCGGGACGGTCGGGGTCCCAGGAAGGCACCAAGCTGGCGCTCTAGCCTCCCGTAATCGAAGCCGAGGAGCTTGTCGCTCCCGGGGGCGCAGGCCTCCAGTGCGTGCAGCTGCAGCTCCTTAAGCGCCTCGGCGATCGCGTCGATGCCGGCAGAGTGGAGAGGCTAGACGGCTGCGGGAACTTCCGCCAACTCTCCCTCCGTCGTAACGATGAAGTCCAGGTTCCCAAAGCGCACGTGCGCGCCCAGGACTTGCTGACGTCGTGACTAGCCATCCGAGGCCTGATGTGGACGTCAAGGCGCAAAAAGCCCCTACATGGCGCGCCAACTGTCTGTGTTTTCGGACCACCGACGAGTAAATTTGTATTTGCGCGTCTGACTCGGATAGTGTGCTCGGAGGACACAAGGGTTTATACTGGTTCGGGCGGAACGTCTCTATGTCTAGTTCGTTGTTGCTCGTGTTACCGGCACTTAGTTTGCAGTAGGGGTCTACAAACAGGCGAGAGAGGGAGAGGATCCCAAGTCTCTGGTGGAAGGAGTGAACAGGTGCTGAGAGCTCGCTTACTGCTCAGCCGTGTGCTCGTGTCGTGCTCTTGTGTTTTTATCCCCTCCCACCGTGGGGCGCACTGCTTCCCCTTTTATAGGCGAAGGAAAAACGTGGGTTACAGAGGAGGAAAAGAAGAAGAATGAGAGAGAGAAGGAGGCTTACATGGTTGCCGGAGCCTTCTTCTCCTTCATGCGGGTCCCGTGAGATCCTGTAGATGTCAACAGGGACGGCTCCATGTCGCGGCCCTGTTCGTCACTAGCGCCATGTGTAGGCGTCATCTGCCGGTCATGGCGTTCCACTCCGTCCCGGCGGACGTTGTGGTGAACTGACGCGCCTGTCAGCGGCCGTACAAGGGTTAGGCAGAACAGCATCGGCACGCCCGACACTGTTCTTGATGTGAATCCCCAGGTATGGCCCGTCATGGCCACGGGTTACATCGAGGCGTGCCAGCATCTTCCCTGGCGTCAGAGTTTTGACCCACGCCCATACGCTTGGACCTGGAGTGGTTGGCAGCGGTATGGGTCCCCGTCGGACGAGACGGAACCTGCGTCCTAGAAGTCGGGCGAGACAGAGCCCACGACCTTAGGCGAGATAGAAACCGTGCCCTTGGGGTCGGGCGAGACGGAGCACACGACCTTGGGCGAGACGGAACCCGCGGCCTTGGGGTCGGACGAGACGGAGCCCGCAACCAAAGGGTCGAGCGAGACGGAGCCCGCGGCCTCGAGGTCAGACGAGACGGAGCCCGCGGCCTTGGGTCAGACGAAACCTTTTAATACGCCTCGAGCCATCCGGAAAAGTCAACGTGGACGCTAACTACCTTGCTTTGGGTATCTCTAATATCGATACCCGACACTGATGCTGACAACTTATTAATACGGTACACTGTACGAGCTGATGGACGCGCGCTACAGCCAACAGTACCATATAATATAACTACCAATACCACTCTAACAGGTCCAGATTGTTCATGTCGATACCACAACCCTGATCCTCAAACGACAGAACAAGGAACATGCATGGCCGGGCCACTGGCCCTAGCAACCGAGTGGTACACACCACCTACTTTCCAAATACTACCATGCAGGTGACGCTGGTTACTATAGATGCAATGCAAGTTTAAGTCACAGATCTGGAAATATTTCAAACACCTAACTCGAATTACCAGATCATTCAAGCCAAACCATAGCCCAGCATTAAAGAGACAAGCAGGTAGACATACACATCCACAATAATATTATGATGGATCATGTAGCATACACGGTACAACCCTCAAGTTTGTTTCTACTTTGAAAAGTTTATCTAGTCCATCAAAATTCACCAGCTGCTTGAGTGCATCAAATAAACATCCACATAAATGGTTTAAAGAAATCAGGAAGGCTGCATCAGTTTGTATTATTTCGGTAGGAACAAATCAGAAAACTAGTACAGGGGCGACATGGCTGGCACATTATGCAGAAGCCGCCAACAGCTCCCTTTCAGCTCGCTCGCGGATCCTCCTCTCCAACTCTGGCCTGAAGTGCCTGATAAGTCCCTGCACAGGCCATGCCGCAGCATCCCCAAGGGCACAGATAGTATGACCTTCGATTTGCTTCGTGACCTCCTGAAGCATGTCAATTTCTTCTAGCTTTGCATTACCAACCTTGAGCCTCTCCATGATCATCCAGAGCCAGGGTGTGCCCTCTCGGCAAGGTGTGCACTGCCCACAACTCTCATGCTTGTAGAAGTAGGACAGTCTAGCAATCGCGTCAACAACATCCGTAGATTTGTCCATCACAATAACAGCTGCAGTACCCAATCCAGACGTCACAGCCTTCAGTGCATCATAGTCCATCAAAACATCATCACATATGTGCTTTGGTAAAAGGGGAACAGATGAACCACCAGGAATTACTGCAAGCAGGTTGTCCCATCCTCCTCTCACACCTCCACAGTGCCTCTCGAGCAACTCCTTCAGAGGTATGCTCATTTCCTCTTCCACGGTGCAAGGTTTGTTCACATGCCCTGAGATACAGAAGAGTTTGGTTCCAGAGTTGTTCTTGCGCCCAAAGCTTGCAAACCATTCTGGACCACGCCTAAGAATTGTTGGGGATACAGCCACAGTTTCAACATTAGTCACAGTTGTGGGGCAGCCATAAAGCCCAGCATTGGCTGGGAAAGGTGGCTTTAGCCTAGGTTTGCCCTGCTTCCCTTCAAGGCTCTCTAGTAGGGCAGTCTCTTCACCACAGATATACGCACCAGCACCAAAATGAATATGCACATCAAAATCATAGCCAGATCCACAAGCATTCTTACCAAGAAGTCCAGCTGCATATGCTTCCTGCCGAGCTTTCTCAAGGTTGAGACGCTCATTCACGTATTCACCTCTAATGTAGATGTAAGCAGCTGATGCCCTCATTCCAACTCCAGCAATAAGGCATCCTTCCAGAAGCTTGTGGGGGTCATGGCGCATGATTTCTCTATCTTTGCAAGTTCCAGGCTCACTCTCATCAGCATTAACAACAAGATAAGAAGGGCGTCCATCTGAAACCTTGGGCATAAAGGACCATTTGAGACCAGAGGGAAAACCTGCACCTCCACGACCCCGAAGGCCTGATTTCTTCATTTCATTAACTATCCAGTCTGCCCCCTTAATCACCAAATCCTTGGTCCTATACCAATCACCTCTCTTCATCGCACCTTTCAGAAAAGGGTCATGCAGACCATAGAGGTTGGTGAAAATGCGATCCTCATCTTTGAGGCCACCGAAGTGAGTCTTCTCTGGAGGGGGTGGGGGAGGTGGAGGCTGTGGTGTGCTTGACGTAGTGGCAGCCTGGGTGCTAAATGATCTGCCAGCACCATTGAGAGAACGAGCAGGCTGTGCCCTTGATAAAGAATGGAAGTACTCAATTGCAGCCTGAAAAGAAAAGTAAAAGTGAGGGGTATGCCAATGAATCATAATAGTCTGACAAATAACATGCTGCTAGAAAAAAAAGTGCTTATACACTCTTCACAAATTAATATATTGACTATCAGAAGAAAAAGGTGGAAAGGTTCATTTCCCAAGTGATTAAAGCGGTCTTGATATTTGATAAAATGGAATTCAAATACCATGACCAAGATGTGGCAATCAAATCACAGTTTTGATACTATTGCCTCCAGTTTATGTAGAAGCATGGAGTAAATTGAAAGAGAGAAGAGGGGTCTTGGGGTTGGGGGGTGTTGATTAGAGGACCACAGCAAAGAAAATTACAGTTTTCTAAAAGGGCTGCCTGTAGCAGTAATATTACCGAATGAAACCAAGATAAGCATTGTACATGGGGTTGATTAGAGGACCACAGCAAAGAAAATTACAGTTTTCTAAAAGGGCTGCCTGTAGCAGTAATATTACCGAATGAAACCAAGATAAGCATTGTACATGAAATCAGTAAAAAAAATCATGGTACGATTCCGAGATCTCAGGTCGGTTCCTAGTTCGATACAAGAAATGAATGTGTAACCATGTCCCCGCATATCTGAAAAAAAATCATATACTTTAGGTTGCGTATCAGCCTACCAGGTGACAATGAAGACATGACAACCAATTGAATAACATTTAAAATCTAATCTACAAATACAAAACTCAACTGCTCGGTCGGTAGCAAGTAAGCAATTTAGATTATCCTACTAGTTTATCACATAGAAGGGCGGGCCTGGTGCAAGCGGTAGAGTCTTACCGCCTGTGACCGGAAGGTCCCGGATTCGAGTCGCGGTCTCCTCGCATTGCACAGACGAGGGTAAGGCTCGCCACTAACACCCTTCCTCAGACCCCGCACAGAGCGGGAGCTCTCTGCACTGGGTACGCCCTTTTCTACTAGTTTATCACATAAGAGGCAACCTTCATTATCTGCTACATGACTTTTTCAGGCATAACCGAGAGTTATGAATGAAATATTAAGAATAAAATAGATGGAGTATTTAAGATGGTGAAAGTTATTTGTCACCAAACCAGTTGCCTGTCCAAAGATGCAAAAATAACATCTTCAAGTTCAACTTAACAAGCCATTCTCACTTATTCCTAAAGGTCTACACAAAGATTCTATACAAAGCCCCTCTTATTGCCTATTACCGAATACCTGACCAGGTTTACCAAATCAAAGAAGAAAAGTAGCAATTAACAGTGGAATGCACCCACAGGACATAAGCGTAGCCAGAAGAAGAAAGTTTATCCCTCGTTTGGATTTTGGACCAAGAGGAGCATTAATATAAATTTTCTTCGGAGATGCTGTTGACAAATAATAGCACTCTCGGTCCACAATTGAACCTCACTGACATGTTCCAGCGGAAGCAACTTACAACAGGTACCGATTAATCATGCAGAAAGAGGGGAGCGGGAGCACTGTTCCACTCCAAGCGCATCTCCCCTCGAACCCTGCCCCTGCCTCAGTCTTTCGCCCATTTCCAAACACTGCCAATCTAACATGCCGTTACGCCCGAAGAGATTCATTTCATCACCACGCGAGCAAGACAACAACTGGAACCCGCGATCCGCGATCCGCCCCCTACCGCTACCCTCCATGGCTCGAACCCACAGGCCTCCCAGACTGCGGCTTCGACGCCCGCTTGCCAGGCCTAACTCTCTCGCGGGATTCCGAATCTCCCGACTAGTGGATCCAACCTATCGAAATGTTGAGGATGCAGAGGAGGAGGAAGAAGGGTCGGACCTTGCGGTCGGGGGAGATCTCGACCGATCTGAGGAGCGCCCGTCGCAGCGCCATCTCCGCCTCGCCTGCTCCGCTCAAGTCGACGGTGCCTGCCGGTCTGGTCGGATTGGGGGAGATCGGGGAGGGGAAGGAACAGAGGGTGTGGGGGAGACACAGAGAGAGCAGCGGCTGCGTGGCGTGGGCGAGCTCCTGGCCAGAAGGGGATGCGCGGACCGAGGCCTGCACACGCACGCAGCAGACGCGAGGCGACGCCGCGTTATTGGGCCTGGGCCGAGTAGCGGATTGGTGTGCCCCGTTTTTGGACTGGGATCTATAGGCAGTTATAAAAAGCCCAACGGTTTATAATGGGTTAAGTTTCTAAAAAAAAAGAAATATGTGGATTCTGATTTTGTTTACAAAAAACATTTGTACCGAAGTCTTACAAACTTTAGGGTAGAAGAATGATGCCGAAATTTACGTGTGATAGCTTTGTGTGTGTATTATATTGAAAAAATAGTCATTTTTTTCTATCAAATAGTGCAAGGCATGTTTGGGTCACCTAACAAGAAAAGTAAGAATGAGATCCAGACAACTAGATTCTAGAATGAGATTTCAGATTTCAATTATATCTACCTAAACCTTAATATTTAGATATATAAGTTATCCAAAGACAATAATCTCTATGACAATAAGATCTAAATACCTCTTATCTTCTTTATTTAAGATTCAGATTCTCTATATCACTATCTAGCTTCATTGTGAGAATGAGACACAAACAAGGCCTAATTAAAACGCAGCAACACAGATGAAAGCGATAAAATTCATACTAAACTGTATCAAGGCAAACCAGATGAAAGCTGGCTCTGGGCCAAAGGCGTTTTGGAGAAACAAATCAACAGAGCAAGGCAGCCATGTAGCAGGTGGGGAAAACACATCACATATACGTACTTGTATGTACACGCGAGCACGTACAAGTACAAACAACATACATGGCATGGCTAATTGGCTATACACTGTGAGTGTGACGCAATCGATCGTGCGACAGCTGCGAAGAAAAGGGAAACCAAGGGAACTCGATCGATACCAACTCGTCATCGGCGCCCTACTGCGACGCTAGCGCGCTCGTCCCGGGCTTGGACGGCGGGTACCCGATCCCGTGGCGAGTGGAGGGGAACACGACGAAGACGACGCTGGCGACGGCGCCGACGACGACGGGGAGCGCCATGACCACCTCCTTCTGCTTGTCCCTGAGCGACGGGTAGAAGCACGCCACCGTGTTGGCGTCGGCCAGCAGCGACACCGCCGCGAACACGGCGACGGCGAACGCCGCGTGCACGAAGTCCCCGAACCGCAGCCGGTACTTGGAGAAGTCCCTCCCGCTGGTTGCGGCGCCGCCGTCGGTGAAGGGGAGGAGACCCCGGGGCGTGACGAGGCCGTACTTGACCTTGCCGTCGTCGGCGCCCACGTAGCTGTCCGTGAAGGTGGAGAAGGCGCAGAAGAAGGCGGAGACGGCCAGGAGCACCCCCGTGGCGATCTTGTACCCGACGGCGCCGCAGTCGCCCGTGTTGGTCACGATCGGGTTCAGCACCTCGTACACGATCACCGTCGCCGTCGGCAGCAGCTTCAGCACGTCGCCGATGCTCTTGAACGTCACGTCCGCCATGCCCGACGACCCCGCGACGGCGCTCGTCGTCGTGCTCTTGTTCGCCTCGCCGCCTGCTTCGGTGGTCGCCGCTGCTTTGTTTGGCCCCTCTTTGATGCCTTCTTCCATTAGCCCCTCTTCTTCTTCTTGCTTATATGTACTGCCGTCTGCCGGCTAGGCTGCTGCTGGTATCTGTCTGCTTATTGCATCATCGTGCAGTATTTATACACCACTTGGGTGTAAGGAAAACCTCAACCCATGTTTCTTCAAAAAAAAACATATGGGATTAGGAAGTACTTAGCTTGATTTGGATGTAACGTGATATATAAATACATGCTATGATGATCGACGTGCCTACCGTGAAGGTGCGTTTGAAGAAAAATATTTGTTCCATACGATAAGCACGAAATTAATTATGGTCTTGACTCTTGACGGGGATAGATAGATAGATATAGATGCACGAAATTAATTATGGTCTTGACTCTTTACAGTTTTCTACTTTCATGTGCCCATAGTTGTTGAGTGCCTTGCCTGTCCTTCACTGAACATTGCTATAAACTGGCTCAAGTCGTTGTAGCAACTTTGATGAACTCAGTTGCTCCGGATTGGCCTAGAGTTCCTTGCGACAGTGGACGAGAGAAATGGTCGTGTTAGTTTATCGTCTGCTGGTCAGTGGTCAGTGGTCACCGTAATGCTGTGATCGTTCATTTGATGCGAACGCATGCTCTCTCCATTGCCAGCGGCTGAGTCTGCAGTAGTGTACTACTATGTAGTATCTTAACGACGGCGGTTTGGAAGCTGATCTGGCAATCATTGGGTGGTTGGTTGTCTGTAATTTCCACTTGGGATTTCGGGAACACCTTCGCTTCTGATTTCTCAAGGGTGCATTTTCTATTTCCCTGCTCGATTCCGGCGGCTATTTCTCAGTCATGCATTTTCTATTTCCCTGCCTGAATCCGTCGGCTACGTATACCAGCTGGAACAGAGGGGAGGGCATTGGGTGGAGCTGTGGTCCTCGCTAATCTGTGAAACAGTTTTTTCTTTCCAACTGCAGCTCTAGATCTATAGTACGAAATAGTCTTACGTGATTATTAGACATTTATGTATGGACACGTATCCGTGACCGTGATAGATCCTCACGACGCCACTGTGGGATGAGTCTACCTAATATTTTTCCCCAAACATCACATGCGTCTCTGGCTGCTAATGATAAGGATTTCGCCTCGCAAAGTCAGAGCTTGCATACACGTTTGTTAAATCCAGCGGATATAATCTTTGAGAGATCTATGTCTCGTCGTGTCCCAGTTGGTGCCTGAAATCGAACCTTGATTGTTAATTAAACAGAGAGTAGAGTGGGAGAAGCACGACGCCACAAGCAACCAGGCTTAATTTTGGCAATCTTGCAAGGAACTCCAGGCAGGGACGAGTGAGTGACTCGGGGACACGGCGATGGCCGTACCGTACTTGTCTGGACGATGCAGGCCGGCCGTTGTCTTTCGGCGTCACGTCCCGGCCGGTAGATGGAGCGTGAGTGAACGAACCAAGGAACCATCAGAGTCATCAGATCAGAGGGGATTTGTGGCAGTCAGCAACACGTGTCGCACGTCAGGAGGATCAGGACCGCCGGGAGCTATTCGGTTTCCGTCCCCGCACCGGGCGGAGGAGGGCCGGCGGGTGGTGACCGGCTTTTGCCGTACCGGGTGGGGGAGACGTTGAAGCAACCACCAGCCTGCCTGCTGCCTGGAATGGAATGACCCAAGCCCTGCGACTGCGAGAGGGCAAGTTGCGACGGGAGCGGCGGAGCTTTGGATCTTGAGCCCTTGGTTGCATGCATCAGGTCCGGCCGGCGGCGAGTCGGCAACGTCGTCGTCTCGCGCGGTGGGCCAAAGCCCATCTTGTGCAAGATGGGCGTGGGCCTCGGCGCGGACTTCATATGTGCTTATAGACCAGCAGAACGGAGGTCGTATCTTACGAGGGCTGAGATTTCATGATTCCTGATCCACTCTGACGAGAAGGAATACCCTCAAGAAAAAGAAAACTAAAAAAAAAGCAGTGATGACTAAATATCTGTTTGTTTGGGCTTCCCGTGATCTTTTGGATCTTTTTTTAAAGCAAAAAAAACTCTCGAAAACCAAAAGTGAGATGCTTGAACTTTTGGACTTTTGGCTTATAGGAGCTGTTTGGTTTTTGAAAAATCCAAAATCTAGTCTAAAAGTGACCAAAAGCTCAAACAAACATGCCCTAATCTTTTCTTAGGGCTTTTCTAACATCCAAGTAGGCTTGGATTCAATGACTTGGAGGGACGAGAAATAGGTTAAGTCGCTAACCATTTGTTAGCCGCTGGCCTAGAGAACTAGGTTAAATGCTTTTATCTTACTCCCTTCAACCAGGAATACTTGACATTCTTGACAGGATGAATGAATTAAGCCCGACCCTTGTATGAATGTTACAATTTTTTAGGTTCAATGTAACATTATTGTTTCTATAGACATAGCTACATATATATTTCTGCTTCCTACACCCTGAAATATACCATATCTTCTTTTATTCTAAGTCAACTCGACTTATGTTTGATTAAAATTATAGGAAAATATATTTCATTCTTCCACATCAAAACGGCAAGTTATAAAAATACATTCCATAGTCTAGTGGTGGCTTTCTTCGTCAGTATAACAAAGTATGGTGGAACATGTGTGGAAGCTATCTTATTTAGCTCTTTTATTTAAAACATAGACATTTTCAATTAATCACGCATACAAACATATAGCCAAGGAAAATTGATAAACAAAAACACTCAAATGCATGTCTAGCGCTCTAGGATAAGACGTCTCTATGTTAATCATTTTATTTACTGTTTAGATGGTGTTTAAATAGAATTAAACAACATAAATTGTTTTGTAAGATTTTATCTGTAGAAGTCTAATATATTCAAAGATATACATATTAATGCATTAATGCATGCAGACGAAATTTTAGCAAATTTTTTGGAAGGAAACTAAGTCCCGTTTCATTCCATATTTGTACAATGTAAATCCGCTAGGTGCCAATGTGATAGTTATAACTTATATCCTTCCATTGACCGAAAGGTGAACTAAATGATTGTTTAACATATTTAATCATGTTAAAATTGATTCTGTTTAGATGATTCTTGATGGTTTAAGCGGTTTTAAACGAACCAAATGTTTAATCGACCGTCTTGAGTCTAAACTCCACAACCGTTTAGGCAAACAAAGCTACAATAACAAAACAATTAACAATAACGATGGTTAGTCTCTGGAAAAGCTATACTAAAGCTATAACAATGCTATAATAGATATTTAAAACCAAACTTATTTCTAACTAAACAACAAGTATTTTCTTTTTAGTCTTGCATAAAAAGGCAAAGACTTAGCGTTGCACGCCCCGCGGCCTCACACACCCCTCCCTCTCTCTC